GTTTTTTTACCAACCTGACGACAAACTCTGGACTTCTCCAGCAGGTACTGTTCAATGCAGGCTCCCTCAATGGCCCCGGACTCAGCAAAGAGGATGTTGATGTACTTCCCAAAACGGCTGGAATTATCGTTGCGGATAGTTTTGGCATTTCCAAAAGCTGAAGTGAAAAAAAAACATTAATGTAGGACTCAGGTCTGGTCAAAGAATCATTTGATGAATTTATGTTGCTCTGCTCCTACCCTCCATGATGGGGTTTGCTTCCAGAACCTGCTGCTCAATCCAGGAGTGCCGTCCACTTATTGCTGCCAAGAACTGCAGCATCAACTTGGTGCTCTCAGTTTTCCCTGCTCCAGATTCTCCACTGATTTAAGGAGAAAATATTTTCTATTATTCATTTGTATAGCTGTAAGCTGTAAGACTGTATAGATGTAACTACTCCATAACGTATTAAAATTGTTTTCTCAATTGATTATTATTTATTAAAGTTACATATATTGTCCATTGCTGTGTGATAACAAACAAACTCATAACTTATCAGGTTAAGAAACTCTGCTGCATGGACTTTTAAAAATGCCTTTTAAGCTCCCGTCGGCCATACAAAGTAACTTAGCGGATCACATTTGGTCCCCGGGCCTTGAGTTTGACACGTGTCCGAAACTAATCTACTCAATACCAATGACAAAGGAAAATCCTGCTCAGCAGAATCTGACCTGATGACACAGCACTGGTTCTTTTTGTTGCGATGCATGTTGAAAAAACAGTTGTCTGCAACGGCGAAGACGTGTGGCGGGAGCTCTCCCAGTCGTCGATCCTTGTACATGTGTATGTAGTCCGGGGTGTAGATGGGCAACACATTGTAAGGGTTGACTGCAACCAGAATGGAGCCTGTATATGTCTTAAAACAAAGATAGTCATTAGCCAACACACATGGAAACAAAACTGTCAAATGCACGTGCTTTTATTTATTTATTTTTAATCTGTGTTTTTAGGCAATAAACATAGTTAAGGACTGCTTAGTCATAAAAGACGTAAAATTAATTACAATTTTCAAATTTAATTAAATTAATAAAGTTCTATCTATCTATTTGAACCACAGCTGCAAATGTTACTACAGAACAGGCAGTGTGTTGTCAACCTTTGTTTGATGAATTTGAACCACAGCTGCAAATGTTACTAAGTCGGTCCACCAAATGTTAATTGTACATATAAATACACAACAAAAGAGGAGTGTCATCAACGTACAAATAAAAATAAAATAAAAGACGAAGTCAATTTTTTTGGTTAGCAGATGGGCTAGTTTGCATGACTAAATTTGAATGTTTTAGCACTGCTGCTCTGGAGGATAAATGTTTTGCAATTTTGGTTTAGGGTGTAGACCACAGACAGGAAGTGCATACATAATTTCACATTTTACATTATATTATTAGGGAATTTGGTCAACTTTGGTGCACCGACTTAGGGAATTTGGTCAACTTTGGTGCACTTTCAATATAATTAAAATCGGGCTAATGAGTTTATGGTTTTATTTCAGGACTAACAGCTACTGGTCAAATAATAACAGTATGAATATTCCTTATGTCTAAGTCTAGACATAACACACAGTTTCTAAAGCGCTGGTCCATCAAATCCAAACCAGACTAACACCAAATGAATAACGGCATGAATTTGAAATGAAAACACACTGCTCGGCTTTGTAGCAGTAACACAGCACATTCTGTTTAAACACAGACTTCACAGTCTCTATGGAGACAGGCAGCACTGTGATAACAGCACAGGGCAAAGTCTGAAACACCGAGACATTCGAAGAACAGGGAGGCAGAGATGAAAAAGCACTTACACAGCTGGTTATGAAACCGTAAACCTACAGCTAGGTGGAGCAGAGAAGTGAAACCTACATAGATGATGCCTTCTTTGTGTCGCACCAGAAGGTTGCGCAGGAGCCCCGCCTCATTAAGATCACCCAGCCTTATCATGTCATCCACTCCCTTCACAGAGGTGGGGTGCATGGGTCGGATGGCGCCCTCTGTCTTTTTGTTAATCTTGTGCTCCTGCGTATAAAAAGGCCACAATAATATCCCGAGGTTTGAGCTAGGTTTCTTGAACTAAACAAACACGAATGTTGCGAGCGTGAATTTTGTACCTTTCCTTCATCATCAATCAACTGGAGCTGGCCAGTTTGGCTTATGGTCACCTCGGCACCGATTGGCACACCAGCTCCAGAATCCACCCATACAAAATCGCCCTAGATTTGAAAGAAAAAAAAAATTAGAGTAACAATAGAGATACAGAAATGTTTCTAGTTTAAAGAAGATTATTCATACCTTGCTCAAATGCAGCATGGTGGGGCATGGGTTAAAACTGTAGTTCACCTGAAACACAATGCCCAGATACATACATTAACAGATTGGTTTGTTTAAAATTGGTCTCAACTGGAAAATTACACTTCAACTTAACACATTTCATTATGAATTGTCAGTCTCAGTCATAGATATTCATGACAGTTTTAACAAAAGTTCTTACCTTCTGGTAGACTCCTGCTGCTGCTCAGGGAACAACAGGAATGGCCAGGAATCAGAAGGAAGTCCAGTTTCCCATCAAACACCTTTTTATTACCTTTTGACTTTGCTCCCACAACGGTGGAACCACCCTTAATCATGACGCACCAGACATGGAGTTAATACCATGAATGATTGTCCATGGCCTGGTGACGACAGAGAAGAAAGAAAATATTACTCTATTTATTTGTGTCTTAAAATAACTTGAGAGGATGAGTGTTAGGTCAGGTATAAGCAATATATACATAAATGACACGATCAAATTGAAATATATTACGTATATATATACACATTATTTTAGTGCATGTACGAGGTTTTCTTAGTCTGAGTCCATTTTATGAAATGTAAATCAGTTGTTGTCTTACCTTCATTCGTTAATATCGTCCATGTCTTTCCTTTTCAGTTTACTTTCTTGTTTATGTCCTCCTTATTTTTCCTCTTATAGTTTCAAACGTCTCTCCACCTCCATCATCCTTATTACCATAATTGTTCACAGTACTCCTTTTGAAAAGAGCTAGTTATTGCCCTGTTAATGGAAGAAACACAAGACATAATTAAGCAAATTACTGTTGGGCTCACGTCTGCCCCCTTTGGTGGAACGTGGTAGTGTTCTGCGTCATCTCCTTTACACAGGGGTTTCATTGCAGATCAACGCGACTGGATATTTCACACACTTACCTACAAAATAAGAGGAAGTGTAGAGGGTCATGGTGTATTATAAACATTTTTTTTTTCAAAGATTATATAGGAAATATACAGATGTACGTTTCTGTATGATACAGAGACAGAACGGGAAACAACAAATACTACTGCTCTTCATCCTTATCCCCAACCACTGAGATTGAGAAAATAAATGTTACTTCTTTTTTAATTCATTTACATAATTATTATATTAATCATTTAATTAATAAAAAGAAGAAAACATTGTATTTGTTTAGATTATATTAATCATTTAATTAATAAAAAATTACTTGTGTATATAAATAAAATAATTTAAAATAGTATAAAACAAATACAATTATATTTAAGAGTGTGACCTCCACTCACCCCACTGCCACTTGTCTGCGGAAAATTTGTACTGCAAAAGAACGGGCCAATGTTAGGGACCACTAGGGTAGAGATGTTGACAAATAGTGATAGTATTTTTAAATGCTTTCAGGTTTTTTGTAATGTATCAAAAATAAATAAAACCAAGCAGCAATTCAAACAGCATGCTGGAGACTCAAAGAGGCTTGGATACAATTTACAATCTTTGATTAACAAAACCCACATCTTTATACCGTGAGAGCAGGTTAGGTGCCAGAAATCAGTGCACATGTGCATAACACGTAGATAACCATTTACATAACGTATTTCTTAGGTTACTTTTAAGCTTTTTCCAGTACTTTGATGTTGATATGGTAGATTTCTGTCACACGTGGACAAACAGAGGTACAGGCAGTTTCCATGAAGAGTTATAGACATGTTTTCTGCTACTGATAGGTAAAGAATTGCTCATGGCTTTGTAAATGAAATGAAAATGTTGATTTAAAAAAATAAAAAAATTAACAAGATCAAAAAGCTACTCATCCATTGTAAAAACATGCACAAAGATTTTCCAAGATGATCAGAAGATCAGTGGTGTACCCACAGAATAAAGCCTGATTCAAAACAGTAGTTGAACTATGACCCTTATGACCGTAAATCTCCACAACCGACACGACAAGCTGTCCCATTAGTAAAACATACAAAGAAAATATAAAGAAAAATTAAAAGAAACGTGAATTATATTGTTTAGGTGTCTTTACTATAATTACACAGACAAAAACAATGTACAGTAGCTGAATGTTTTAGGCTCACTTATACCACGACACACCATAATACACTCAGGAAAACGAAGCGGCACACGTCACAACATGTTGATTGTATACAAAAACTACTTAGAATCGCTTCTATAGAACAAAAACAAAAAAAAGCACATTTACAGTGATTTACAACGATCCGACCCGCTACTGGATCACATTCTGCTGGCTCTCTTAAGCGCTGAAACCAAGTCAAAATGTGTTACAACAACCATGACATGTCACCATGCTGTGAATTAAGATGACCTGTGGCAGTTTTTAATGGTCAGATGTGATTTCAATCCTCTTTTTTTTTTTTTTTTTTTTTTTTTTTTTTTTTTTACACGTTCAGATATCTATTCACACCCTCTCTTTTTTCACGCCACGCCATATGAGAACTTTTGTTTTAAGGTGAAGTTTTTAATACGTTTTTTGTTTACCTACAGACCACACATTTGTCATTGTTCATTTCTCACCAAATGTAGAGGTAAGTGTTTATCTGTAAACAAATGTGTTTGGAGGAAAAAAAAAAGAAGAGGAAAGCGCAATCTTTTTCCCAATATTTCACACTGACTGTATGAACTCAAATGATTTAAAAAGGAATAAATCAAATGAACAACTTTTGTGTGGTTAAGATGAAATACTAAGGCCTTCACATTACTTGAACTTAGTGCTACAAATTCACAGCAGTTCTGCACTGAACCTTTAGTCTCATAAAGAACGATGCACAAACTAAATTGTCAAATGAACAGAATATGGATCATCGGTGACAGGTCCATGACCACACACAGAACATAAATGCTGCGTCTTCGACTCTTTCTTTTTCTCTCACATTCTCTCTGCTGGCCCAAACGCATGTAGGGATGGTGTGTGAGATTGTATGCAGCGAATCATAGCACCAAATTCTGACCAGCTCTTTCGGGCACCGTCAGAGATCAGTTGACAGCCGCTGTCGTCAACGAAGAGTCCGTCTCTCACGCCCGCTCTTTGCGCTTTAGCTTGGAGGACTTTTTGACGGCACCGTTTTTGTTGAGCAGCTTCAGAACCTTCTCCTTGTGGTCCAGTACTTTCATCATGGTGTCCCTGGCCTCCGTTACCTGGTCCATCACCAGCTTGCAGCGTTGCATGTTGCCCTGCCGAGCACAAAAAGAACCACTGTAAACTATAGAAATCCCGTGTGTCAGCAGACCACATGACATTTGTTTTTTTTCCATCAACAGAATTTGTTTTTTTAGATTTTAATCTGTCCAAGTGGATGAGTTTTAACAGTGCTCTGCCCTGTAAACATCGTTTACCATAAAAGGTCTTTTCACTAAGATTTGCATCTTTGATTTATAAATATCCATACATTTCATTATATTTACATCCATCAGTCAACAGCACCGCTGCTTTGCATACTAGAACCTGCAAATAGATTTACAATTCTAAATAATCAGAATTTCAGGAACTGGTTCAATGAGAACAGGTTCTCGATTTGCATCGCTAGTACTAAAGCGTGTGTCGACTTTATCTGAGCAACATCCTGTAGAATGTAAAGTGGAATTTTTTTTTTTTACTTTTTCCAGAATGATTAACATCTGTTTTTTTCCTGTATTTTAATGTCTTTCTGAGGTTGATTAATTTTTTTCCCAGTTAAAGGATTTTAATAATATATGAATATCAAAACTAGATGGTGGCAAATATGCAAGTGTTTTTTTTAATTTTACAGATAAGAACTCAATAAGATAAAAAAAAGTTTTTTGAGTTTCCAGCAAGTGTTGGACTACTGCAGGGCTGCCCTTTGTCACCGGTTCTGTTCATTATATTTATGGACAGAATTTCTAGGCGCAACGGAACAAAACGTGAGATGGACAGGCGGATCGGTGCAGTGGCCGCAGTAATGAGGAAGTGACAGGGGAGAGGGAAGTCTGGGTGTCCCTGCTCAGACTGTTGCCCCCGCGACCCGGCCCCGGATAAGCGGTTGATGATGGATGGATGGATGGATTTTTGAATTATCTTTGCCATGTTCAAACCCACTGTACCTGTATCAGCTCATTGATTCGGTGAAGGTCATCATCGGCTCCTGCTCTCTTTTTTGGGATGAGGCCCTCTTGAAGGGTAGACAGACGGCTGTACACATCATGCTCCAAACTGGACTATAAATGAAATAAAAATATGACACGTTAACTGTGGATAAATAAAATTAAAGTATGAGAGAGGATGGGTTCATTAGGTCAACTACAGGTCACTTTCACCAGTAGATGTCACTGTATAGTAGAGGTGCTTGCTAATGTTGGGCGTCTAAACTTAAAGCATGCCATCGAGATCAATACAGGTCTGGGTTCCGGCGCTCACCAACTGCCTGAGTTGAGCAGCACACAGGTGAATCTTCCAGCCCTGAGCCCTGCAGGCGACTCCTCTCTGATTGGCCATGTCTTGTAAAGTACCCTTCTTTTCCTCTGTGTGGGAAAGACAAAAAAAAAAGTTCATAAAACAGGCTAAGACCAGATCAAGTTTTCTTCACGCTGTAATATATCAACCTTTGACTCTAATGTCGCTGTATCTCTGGAAATGGTGATAGGCAGCTTTCCAGGGGTTACGGTAGTGACGCAGGAGAGTGACAGGAGGTCGAGGTCGGACTGGAACGTAGCGGACTCCCTCTTCATCTGAAGATAAACGTGCGCGTTAGACACAGTACTGTGTATGTTCAACAACACTTATCGAAACAGCCGGGGTTTCTGCTTTTTAATGCGCGACTTACCGACATACTCTCTTGGCGGAGACTCGCACCTCTCAGCCCTGCCGGTGATCGGCCTTCCTGGGGTCTTTTCCTCATCTGTGCTGTTGGTCTCCACCATTTCACTCTCCTCCGTAGATATGACATGCTGCTGCTTGCGGGGCTTCTTTCGAGGAGACGCGCCGGGGATCAGTTCTCCCGGGGGAGCGTTGAGGGTGGAAGCCTGGATGTTGAGCGGCGGTGGTAACGACAGGTTTGCATTTGAATCTGCGGTGGGAGGAAAATAACGCATCGTTAACTCCTGGTTGTCTTTACATTACTTTTTATGGCTATTGCATGAAAAAAAAAAAAAGAGAGAAAGGGAAATGCACCTGGCTGGGTTTCCATGTTCTCTACCTCCTGCTTAATTTTCACTTCTTGGCAGTTGGAGCTGGCAGCCCCTGCTACAGTGCTACTGGCAGCAGGCTGTATGGGAGAAGCCACAGTGTTGGCCATTGAAATGGGAACAGAGGGAGTCACGGCCATGGTGGCCGGTAGCGCTGACAGGACGGTCGACGGCTGAGAGGGAGGCACGGGTCCCGGGGTGGTCAGCAAGGTGGGGATGGCCTGGGCAAGGTGCTGGGTCCCAGAGGACACCACCTGCTGTTCTCCCAACTTGGAAGGTAGAGCTTCTACTGTCGCCATGACGGGAGGAGCCACAGCCATGTGCACCTCAGCTTTAGGTTTACCACTGCGGGAGTAAGTTCTGGTGTGAGGACAGGGGGCGCATGATGAGATGTGCATTTCATTAGAGTGATAATAAATCAACCAACCCTGCGGGTCGAGGAGATCCTGCTCCTCTCACGCCGCTGTCCATTCGACCACTGCCCGAGTCAGCAGGCTGTGCAGGAATGAGGTTCTTACGAACACAACTAAAAAGAAAAAAAAAGAAAACATGATCGTTTAGGCCAGGGGTGTCAAACTCATTTTCACCAGGGGGCCACATCAGCAATACAGTTCCTTTACTGGTACTACATATTCTAAATAAACAATATTCCAGTTATATATTTATATAACAATTGTGTTGCTATTATATCATATTTATTATTAGCAGTGACGACCTACTGTCAATCTTTTCGGAGATTTTCAACCAGATACCAGAAACAACCAGATTCTTTTCCTACCTTTCATTTGCGGGCTTCTTGCGGAGGATGCTGGGTCTCGGGGAGGAGACTAGTGTGGGAGCACCTCCTCCTTGGGCATGTGCCTGCACCATTGTAGCAACAGGCTGAGTGGCCCCAAAGGTACTGCTGATTGGACTGGCTACGAACCCATCAGCCAAAACAACCCCTGGAAGAAATAAAGAGCGTCTTATTACGAGGCAACGACTCCGTTTATTGGTGATGTTTTCTACACGGTATACAAGTTATCATTACCAGGTTTCGCCTCAGACTGTGGCTGCTGCTGCTGCTGTGTGACCACAGGCGTCTGCTGAATGCCCTGTGTCGTTATGGAGGCAGAGGTGTGCAGGCCCTGCACTCCTATCGGTGCAGGCTGAATGCCTTGAGCAGCGATCGGCGCCGGCTGAATTCCTTGGGTGCTGATTTGTGCAGAGGGCAGACCGATGCGGTCAACCGCCATCAGCTGCATGTGGTTCAGGTGGACGGTGGTGGCCACGCCCACTCCTGGTTGTGTGGGCAGCGCTGAACTGGGAGCTTGGGGAGTGACTTGTTGAGAATGGACACGATGTTAACAAACTTGTATGTTTCATTTACTGTCTGTTTCAATATTATCTGGTATATATATCTTAGTGTTCTTTAAACAATAAGAACCCAATGGACATACCTGGGTATTGCCTGATGGTAGACACGGAGCTGCTGATGGGTGAGGGAGGAGTGTGGGAAGAGGGGAAGAGGTGGGGGGGGGGGGGGGGGGGGGGGGGGGAGTGTGACGGGAAAAAAAAAAAAAAGAAAAACCCCAAATAATTACATTTTTTTTTATCTTGTAAGACATTTGTCAAAGTCGCTTAAATCAAATAACGATTGAAGGACCAGGTAGTTTATAATAAGTCCTTTGTTTTGATGCACAGAAGTACAAGTATATTAGATATTTATGGTTATTTATTCATATTTAATTAAATCTAATTTTACAAATAAATATCCTGAACATGAAGTGTTTGTGTTTTTTTTTCAAAATCAAGTGGGCCAGATTGAATACCCTAGCGCATATGTGTCAAACTCAAGGCCCGGGGGCCAAATGCGGCCCGCCGAGCCTTTTTGTGTGGCCCACGGGAGCTTAAAAAGTATTTAGTAAAGTCCATGCAGCAGAGTTTGTTAACATGAGAAATTAAACAGTTTTTTTTATTACACAGCAAAGAACAATATTTGTAATAATAATCAATAACAGAAACATCTGTCTTAGTCTGTTATGGAGTAGTTACATCTATACCAGCGGTCCCTGACCTTTTTTATTCCATTGATAGCAATGTTCAAAAGAGTTTTAATTGTTTTTACTCATTTTAAATTTGACACATGTCCAGATGCTAAGAGAATGTGACAACCAAAAGACCTATAATAATATCTACCAAATGACCCAGAGCCAAGAACCTATCTGGAGATCTACAGTATGGTGTAGACCATTGACCTTTTCATACCATGTTCCTTGTTTCACCTTGTTACATGAAGCAGGCCTTATAACTTCACAGTTCTTGTGAGACAGTAGCTGCTAGTATCATAAGTGTATAAATCAAAGTGGTCCAGATGCTAAGAGAATGTGACAACCAGTGCAGTGTAGTACCATTGTGCCAGTAATTCATACAACAAACAAAAAAAGTATTCCCCCGAGCCTCACCTGTTGTCACTTCTTGCCTCCATGGTGGCCGGGTTAGGAGAAGATCGATGTCCTGGGATTGGGATGAGGTTGGTTCTCTCTCCTGGGTAGTCAGATTGCACACGTGATGAGGAGTGAGCGATGGGCTGAGGCACCACTTTGGCTGCAAACGAAAACAAGAAACAGCTCAGGCAAATGAACGACAGAAACTACAAAAGTCGAATGTCCCGTGTGGCCGTACAGGACAGCGCTAACGGTGGGGGCCGAGACAGGAGGTCAAACTCACCCACGGGGATGGTTGAGGTGGTTACAGCCGTATGAGACGAGTGAGATGCCATAGTCATGGTGACCAGAGCGTTACTGGTGATCTGAGTATGTGGTACAGTGCCTGAAAATGAAGGAAACAGAATAAGAAATTGTAATGTACTGATCTAAATAAGTCTGTTCGTTTTGGATGGAAAGAAGCAATTATACCTATAGTGGTGGTTGACGGCACGGTTGTGGCAACGATTGGTGCCACAGTTGCTGCGGCCACTGGTGTCACAGTGCTGAAAATAGGCTTCTGTAAACAAAAAACAAGGGTGGTTTTCTCATCGACTGTATGCAAAACACAACAGTGTCTGTGAAGGAGTCATCAAATATTCATCACCTGTGTCATAGTGTGTGGAGCCTGAGGCTTTTGGGCCCCAATTGCAGGATGTGAAGGAAGCGTGATTCTTGTGGCAGTGTCCCGGGAATTTTGAGGCCTCTGGATACTAACAGTGGCTGGAGGTGGGTGGATGGTCAGGCCTGGGCGGCTAGAAGGACAGATTGAACAAGAGAAGAAAAAAAAGTTACATATCGTACAACAGAGGTCCCCAATCCTCAGTGCAGGCACTGGTGTTGGTCCGTAAGTCATTTGGTAACGGGCCACAGTGAAAAAATGTACTTCAGTTTTTTAAGAATCCAGTCATATCTCTTTACCTTTTTCATTCAAAGATAATTTGACAATGTTTCAAAACAACAGGTCATTCAGACTCTGATACTAACAGAAGAAAGTCTGAAAGATGTTTTATTTTGAGAATTTAATGATCCTTCAACGATGGTGCGGTATTACCAGTCTGCAGTAATGGCTGATACCGGACGTCCAGTTTCCTTTGTTGCTATCGGTCTTTTATAGTAGTATCTATGAAGACATGTTTTAGGTTTAAATGATTTCAATTAGAGATAGCTCAAACTGATACTCAGTATCGGTCCAATCTCAGTCGAAATTTCAGGAATGAACAACTGAAAAACAACTGTGGCCCTTCTGATCTAATTCCCAAGCCGGAATCGCAACTAAACTCTGAGTAACATGCCGTAAACAGGGACACTATCCCTTTAGCTACGGCCACCCACAGCATGCTGGAGGCAAAGAAGGCATTGGACAGTACAGGTTATCAGACATGAAAATGTTGTAGCCATCCCAAGTTCCACTCACTTAACATGCATGTCAGCTTATGCTGCACTGCACTGCACTGCACTGCACTGCGACACCTACCCATGTGTGACCTCGGCAGGGTGTGTAACAGTCGGATTAATAACCGGAGACTGCGTTCTGGTGGCAGAGATGGGAGCCACCACAGTTGGAAGCACAGCTGTGGAGGTTGTAACAGCAGGACGAGACTGAAGGCAGAAGGAGAAAAATGAACCAGTGGACGCAAAGCCTAAATTAATATATACCACATGGACGGATTTGTAGATGTAAAATACCTGAATGGCCTGGTGGATTATGTGCTGCAATGTGGGCTGGCCGGGACCCGCACTTGCACCGGTTGCTGGACGCAGGACAGTTTTGGAGCTGGACATAACCGCTGCTGCCGCAGCACCTGTGGTTCAAGAAGCATTCACGGATCAAGAGGAGTCCTCTTTAATGAATGAGGCGTAAACTCAAATCAGCGTTAAGGATAAACGAACACGGCGTCCAGTGTATTGATAATATTAAAACCAGCACACCTCTTGGTAAATGGGATGTGAACGTCTGAGGAGGGACAGCAGAGGTCCCGATTTGCAGGGCAGGAGCACTGCCTCGTATGATCTGAATGTTAGCAGGCATCAGATGGTGTAAGTTGCTGGGGTGACCCTGGGAATGGAACGATAATAGAAACGGTCAGATTTAAGTCATAAACAACCAATGAACACACGTTTACTTATGGCTAATGCGGCATGCACTCACCTGACTACTGATTGTAGCCACAGGGATAGATGGGGTTGGAGCAATACTACTCTCTATAGTGACTGTGATGTGACCTGGCACCTTTGGAGGTATGGGGATATGAGGCTGGTTGGAGGCAGGGGCGGGGGCAATAAGACGACTTGGCATGGGTGACTTTAAGACAGCCTGAATGAAACGAAGTATATATATAAAGAAAAAATACAATTACCTTATATTAAGGTACATTGTGAATGTATGTAAATACCACCAACCGGATTTATCCACTACACGTGGAAGCATGTAGTTATATTATTTGTATCATTATTATTTATTTTTATAACACATATTTAGAGTTATTTAAAAGTTAGACTTAGGGTTGTGGATTGTCTTGCCACTTGTAATAAAAACTAGGGCATAAAAAACAAATCATAAATTCATTAATCATAAGCCTGTTTTACTTATTGTAGGAACTGTAGTCACCTACACAAAAACCTAAAGCTATTTAGAATTTGGGTTGAGACTCAAATTCATTGTCCGTTTCAAACATATGTAAATGTAGAAAAATGAAACACGCAAGAACAACTGTAGAGACTAATGCCTAGCTATAACAACTAGGCGTGAACTGGCACCAGTCAATATGGGTGCTTCAGGTATAAAAAAAAAAATAAAAAATTTGATTTATTTGGTGCACTTTCATGTTGCTAATGTAAGGACAGGACCGTGAATGTATTTTTATCCAAAATTGGAAACAATATACTTCAATTTTATCCAATTCTAAAACTAGAATCGGTTCTATGATGACCTCTGTTGGCCACTGTGTGTAAAACTTTCATTTGGGTTTGAAAACATTTCATAAATGTTTCATAAATTGGTACAATGTTAATCGCAATTCACTTCCGGTAAAATCATCATATTGTTACCATTTATGTGGCTACATTGCAGCGTGCACAGTTTACCGAGTTACCAAACTCTTTGTACAAACTATGTCACTTTAGTGTCATCATGTTCCTGGTTTTCGGAAATTCAAACTAGGTGCCAGCACCACCTGGTGTTTAAGATTCCAACGCGATTGTTATTACCTTCATCTGCCCCTCAGTGAGGACTGCTGTTTGACCCTGTGGTAGATGCACAGAAGGAGCAGGTAGAGGCACAGGTGTACCAGCCTGCACTGGTACAGTCTGGGGAGCAGCTTGTGGCTGGCCATGGGTCTGCACTTGTGGATAAGGTCTGACCACCATGGTCTCCTGCTTGTCATCTCTGAAGGCCAAGGTTGGTCCTCCCCCTGCTGGTTGATGTTCCTGCTGTCCATGCTCTGCATCCCGACTGCCATCAGCATCAGCTATATAAAAAAAAAATCTTTACTGAGACACGTTTTTTCAAAAGCTCTTTCAGTACTTATACTTACTAATGATGACTTCTCATAAGTTTGGGTCATAATTTGATGTGTTAAGTGGATTTTATATGATTTGACAACTTGTTGTCTAATCTCCTATCGCTTGCATTGAAGTCATTTGCTCGCCAAACAAAATCAGTGGAGCCAATTTTTGTGTGTTGACATTGAAATTTTTCGCCATCTGTAAAAACTTCAATTGCTGTGTAGTGTTTAGGTGGTTTTACCTTGTGTATTTGACGCTTGATTAATAGACACAAGGTTTCCAGCAGCAGAGATTGGTGTTGGTCCTCCACTAGAAACAGGCATTCCGTGACGGGGGAATTGTTGAGAGCTCATTTTATCCATATAAGACCTGAAGAGTTAGAGCAGGTTATATACATAAAATTCAGTGTTTCATCAATTATGTTAATTGTTTTTCTATATTTTCTAAATTCATTCGACAGCTGTACTAGTACATTTGGCCTTGGATGACAACAACATTTAACATAGAGAATGAAACGCACAGGTCCAAGTATAAAAGTTAACAATTTGAGAAAAGCTGGTTGATGAAAAGGCTCGAGTTTCCCCAGATTAATTTTTTTGTAATTTTAATAATGTATTCAACAACAGAGTAACACAACAAAAGTATATTATAACTATGAAGTATCGCAAAACTGAATTGAAGACCCGGTTAATTGTATTTTACCAACAAATTACTAATAATTATTAGTGTGACAGGAAACGGAATACATGTTTGGTTTTTATCGACCAGCCAAGTCCAGTCCTTTACAGTTTAATTGTTGAAAATGTGTAGCGTTACTTTGGTTTTAGAATGTTGCAATAAGTCTTGCATATTAGAAATTCATGAGAAAATACAAGTATATTTTCATGTGAACTATTGAACATTTCATAATTGTTTAAATGACTGCCGCAAACGTAATTGGTCAACAAATGACACGAGACAGACGAAAATCACACAGTATATGCTAAAATATTTACCGAATATGCAAACACGGTAAACACTCGATTACGCTTATTTATCCAAACCATCTGCAACGACCTATTTACATAGGTTTAAGGTAACGTTTAATATAGTAAACTGTTGTTAGCTAGCTGCTGGAGATAGCAGCAGGCTAACGATAGCGTCGCCGTTCCGGCTGCTGTTTGTCTTATTCGTGTATTCCTGGACTTTCTAAAAAGGAAAAAACGGAAATGAACGCAAACTATATTTAAAAAAAGCAACGAAAGAGATTCCATAAAACGTGCAGAACTTACCGTATCACAGAGTTCTAATGTTGTGGTGTTTTTCTGGAATATTTTTTTCCATTCGTCTTCTCTTTTTTGCTCAACATGTAAGCCGGAAGATTTCTCTAACCGAACCGGACCGCCTTCTTCTTTTTTTCACCAGTCACAAAATAGACCCGGGCATAAGTTGACCAATTGCGGCGTCGAAAAGCTTTACTTGAGCCAGAAGGGAGGGGTCGAGAGGTCGCTGCTGATCACGTGGTTCAAAAACGTCAGTCGGGCTAGCACTCAAGCTAATCAGTGTCGTTCCCTTTGTATTTTATTTTCAGCACAACCTACGACAAAGCCCAATAAGGCGACTCAAGATGTGCACTTAGAGTAGGAAACAGTGTCTCCAGTTGAACAATAGAACATCGTTTAAATTATATTTGATGACGCTGTCAATATGTTTAGATTCTGTTACAGTTTCCACAACTGCTTTTGAGATAATCTCCCGTGTGCAGACCCGCTATGAGACGAACCGGGGCTGTAGTAGCCAATAAAACACAAACTGAACTGCAAAGTAAACTTTCTTACACAGTGTCATTCGATTCCTCTAACTCCCCAGCAGGTCACGTGACTACGAGACTCCCGCTTGAAAAATGTTTACAGCAAAACGCAGTACTGCTAAATCGCTGCTAGAGGGCGACATTACACCGTTCAAACATGGGAGTTTGTATGGGAGTACGCTCATAATGGTTTCCCCCCACTTGTAAAAGACAAAAAACAAACCCAAGGACAATAAAAGGTTATTTTGGACAATGTTAGTTTGTGTTTCTGTTGAAGTGTGGCAGATTGATCTAATTTATATGTCTTAACTGTTCTTTTATTTCCTAAGTCTTAAATGCCTGATGGAATAAAGACAAGATGACTAAAGATGGTTTTGGATAGATAGATAGATAGATAGATAGATAGATAGATAGATAGATAGATAGATAGATAGATAGATATACTTTATTGATCCCCAACTGGATAGCTACATGAATGTACTTTCTTTTGGCTGCATCCAAGAGGATAAGGTCTAAATAGACATGTTGACAGTTGCAGAAATAAAAATCCAAAAGGATAATAATTTTTTTCACGATAAGGTAGTTTGCACCTGGCTTCCCAGTGTTAAACCGTACCTGCTGCCTTAAATGTCTTTGCTTTAATTACCTAGAGTGCCTTGCTTTGCAGCACATGTAGTCTCAGCTCTTTCTGTAAAAAGAGGCTTCTTTCATCTCGGTAACAGCTCGCAGAGGAACGTTGCCCTGATTTATGTGGAAAAGTTGGAGGGAGGTGGGGGCACATTCCATGGAAGGCAGGAAGTATTTGAATCTCCTTGGAAATAAAGGCAAAACACAACGTCTTAATTTTTTTTTTCTCAAGAGTTTCACAAAGTCTTTTAAAAAGTACGCTCGATCTGCTCCAAAAGGAGAGAAAGATTTGGTCACCGCTGGTCTCATCCCTTGCTGTCCCATTAGGAGACAAATCTTTAAAACGTTATTGGCCTAAAAAAGTGCAATAACAATCAGATGCAGCTGGAATACCAAAACAAAATCTGGCACAAATGAGAAGGTAGAATGCAAAGAACGTACTATTGATGTGTTTAAAGAAACGTTTCCTTATTACATTTTTCTTTATTATTATCATGTGTTCTTCATCCTTCGTGCCTGGTGCTTTGATTATCCATTCACTGTTACTTGGGGGAGTGGTGAAAATCATGAGTCCAGATGTGTTTGGAATGCAGTCACATATTTTGATGTTTATTTTCCTTCATCTAAGAGTAGTGAAAATAGGTTTTAAGACACACTTGAATCCTTTGAATAATAAACAAGCTTTGATCAACTCGTGTAAACCTGGCACAGTCTGGAGTCATGATGCTGTAACCTTTCACCCATAAAACCCCTCAACACTCCTCAGAACCCCATCCGGGGGTCAGGGATCTTGTCCTGGTTGTGTGTTTGCAGAAAGAGTTTGAGAAATGATGAAAAGGGATTTTGATGCTTGACCCAAAGTGGAAGGAAATCAATTTCGATATGCTACATGTGCGGCCGTTTACACGGCTAGCTTCTCTGGGCGCAGAAAAACGGCGCTGCACAACAACAAGCAAAGAACGCTGGACAAAAATGTCTGGCATCTGTGGAATTTTCAGTCCCAGTGAACCAGGATTAACAAGGAATATTACCATAATTGTTCCCACATTGCGGAAGGTGTAACTATAAACTTTTCATCATGAAGCACATCGATACGCACGGTCATGTATTTGGGATTCTATTAAAACAAGCGGGCGAGATGTTTCATTTCCCGTTGACGTCAAAACATGACCGTGGCCCACCAAGAGCACCAACCAACTCCGCAGGTTTTGTTTTCTCAGAGTATTTGCTCACCTTGACTTTTGATGTTGACCGACTCTCGAGTTAATCATTTAAAGATGATGAAATGTTAATGAAACTTTGGCAACATTTTTGATCTTAAAAAAAAAAAACAAATCACGAGTGTGTCACTTACTGGTGATATCGAAAATGGAGTGACACAATTGTCAAATTCAATGAGGTCTGTCCTACAGTAGAATCTCTTGTTGACAGAGAGGCAGTCAACACCAAACCTAGCGAGATCAAGAGTTAGATGAAGATTAGATTTGTAGGTTAGTAGGAAAAAATACAAAAAAATAAGCTTTTATCAGAAGTGGTTGTCTAGACCAGGGGTTCCCAAGGCCCGGTTCGGGGACTGGTGCTGGTCCGTACGTCATTTTGTACCAGGCTGCAGTGGGCCAACCGATTCATGTGATTTGCTTGGCTAGCAGCACAGTTTGAACAAGAGACGTAAAGTTATATACTGTAGAACAGGGGTCCCCAATCCCTGGTCCGGGGACCAATGCCAGTCCGTAGATCATTTGGTACCGGGTCACAGCGGGACAGTTAAAAAAAGGACTTCAGTTTTACTAATTGACTTCATTCCTAAAGAATCCAGTCATATCCCTTTAGTTTGTTCATTCAAAGATAACCGCTGGACCAGACCTTAGACCAGACTTAGCACCAAGATCACCACAGACCTAATCAGTGAGACGACACTCAAAGACACACGTCCTGTGATTGTACCACCCAGTGAGTTAGCCAGTGGGAATGTTAAAATGAATGACGACCAAGGGTCTGCTAACCCAGAGGGGAACAAGGGTCTAGTGATCCGGACCCCAACTCATCATGTCCCACTTGGACACTATTAGACCACCCAACAAGAGAGCCCCAAAGGGCAAACGGGGACAACGGGTTGATCTACCCCTTGCTGACAGGGCACCCAGAATTCACTATGTCAGGATTCTGAGACCTGCAGCCATTCCATGACACGTAGGCCAACCATGAGCAAAGGTGAACCAAACCTCTGGAACTGACCCCAGGGTCACCCTTCGGGGTCGCGTCGGAAGACGTTACATGACCCAAGTAGCCTCTCCTCCTCCAAAAATACTTCACCAAGTCTGAACAAACTCACATTAACTCAGTCTCCCTGTCCACCACTGCCAAAAAAAGACACATGGTGGTCCATAAGAAGACAGTGAGCCAGCATGGGCAACAACCCCACACTGCCAGAGGGATATGGGAAGGGAGGGCAACAGGGCAAATTTGCCCCCCCGACTCTTAGTCTTTAGTAATTTACAATGAGCTTTTAGTCAATTTGCAGCTTTGTGGGGAATGTGTTGCCTGTCGCTGGAGAGTTTGACCAATCAGAGGGCGGCATGCACATAACAGTTATAATAAGTCGAACAAAGTCGAACAAAATGCTGTTTTTGGATGGATGGATGGATAGATGGATGGAGAGAGAGAGAGAGATGATATATGGGTGGATGGATAGATAGATAAATAGATAGATAGATGGATAGAGAGAGAGAGAGAGAGAGAGATCAATAGATAGAGATAGATAGAGAGATAGATAGATAGATGGACAGATAGATGGATAGATACAAAATTAACTGACTAACTAACTAGCCATACAAAGTTAATTTAACAGCTAGCCAAAAGGTGGTACTTCACCTCTGCTAACAAAGGCTCCTCCATACTGTACTTCAAAGATACAGGGCTGTATTTCTTAACTAAAATCATGGCGTTACTGCAAACAATAAAAAAAAACAGGAGTCGGTTTTATATATCGGACATATATTAAGAAATGTATTCTATCACTGTGAAACGTTAGATATATGTACAAATATTTCCTTTACAAAGAAAGGTCACAGCAACATTACAATACGTCACCCAGCTGAAACAACAACTGGTCACTGGTTAACACACACACACACACACACACACACACACACATAACAGCTGGATGCATCTTTGGCACCAGAGCATGACACAAACACACACACATACATACATATATATATAAAAGACCAAATAAATGAAAAGACAAACAACAATTACAAAATATATTAAATTCTCAGAAACTTCACATATCTGTTGTGTAAACATTTTCCCCCAAAACATTAAAGGCGTTTAGTCAACACATTGACCAGCAGATGCATTGTGACAGAAAATTCATGTAAAGAGCTTGAAAACAGGGGGGGGGGGCAGTTCAATGTTCTGTCTGGTAACGGGTTGGAATTTGTGCCTTTTAAAAAGAAGCAGCGACTGCGGAAAGCGATGTCGGACGTCTGCAGTATTCTAATTTTGAACTACGGCACATTCCAGTTCACTAAAAACGTATCTTGACAACAGGAGTCTACATTCAGAGGTGTTCAGTGATCCCGTAGAATGCACGGAGAAATAAATAGAAGCTGAATATAACACAGGGATTGGGGACAACAAATAGAATGGCAAATGCACGCCGGTTATAGTTCAACGCTGACGGTAGACCCAGCTACCACAGGCTCAGAAGAAGAAGAAGAAGAAATAACCAGACCCCAGAAAAGAAATCATGTGGAGAATGTGTGCCATTTTAACAAGGGTTGGGGGGGGGTCAGACTTTACATAGTCTTTTTCTTTAACAGCATTCCCTCGGCGAGGAATGTGAGAAGATTAGCTCCAGCATGTCAGCGAAGGGGAGAGAAATGTTGGGCAGTCGCCGTCTGAGGCCCCAGACGTTAACCCCGGGATTTGGAAAATTAGACTCCTGGAAACCTGTCGATCTAGACGGGCTTTTTAAAGACAGAAACGAGCGCGCCCGGCATTCATAAGGAAATTTCCAAATGCTCTGGTAGCCGGAGCTTTGGGTTTATTTTAAATAGGAACAACTGTTAATTTAAATCTGGGTCCTTCTCCGAATCCTCTCACACACGGCGTGAAGACAGACGGGATGCTCACACCGAGTCGTCTTTTTTTTTTTTTTTTTTTTTTAAATATTCTGTGCACATAATGCAGAAAGTGAAACTTCATCGATCAAAAAGAAAGCAGCATTTACAAGTATAAATAGAATATAAAAGAAATTAAAAAAAAAAAAAAACCTTCCACGACATACATATATTGAAAATCAGCAGTCCAGGTACCGAGACTTTCTTCCTGTTATTTTTGTGTCAAACATTCGTTTTGAATCTGTGCAGAAGCAGCCGAAGGAAAAACCCTGGGCCCTCCTCTTCAAACTGTCACATTCTTGACACCGCGCGTTCATTCAGACCATTTCGTAACGCTGATCAAAGAAGTAGGAAAATGTGGCCAAGCGTGTCAGTCGTCGCCGGCCGTCACTGGTCAGCTGCTCAAATGAGGATTTCAACCATCTCCGCATCCGAGCTCTTGATGCTCTTGAGTGTCTTGGGTGGAACTGCAGGATCCTCCACGGGGTCTAGAGTGGAGATAAAATTAGCAGATTAGAAACAATGTCCTGATTTTACAAAGTCATCATAAATATCTACAAAATATGCTTTTTCTATGCTCATCACATTGAGTTTTAATTTGGGCTTTTGCTCAACACCCGACCCTCGTTTTTGGTCACATTCAGAAAGAGCTAATTTGACATGATTACTCAATGTGATCTGAAGCGTAGTAGTTTTGTGGCTTTGTTTCTTTATTTGTTCATTCTGGATTGGAACGCCTGTGTCCCAGTGACCGACGAACGAGTGTTTGAGCTGCATTCTTAAAGCTTCAAAGTTTGTTTTTTTAGATGTATTTTTTATATTTGTTTGGTCTGAATTGGTACGAAAAGATGAAACAGCTACACAAATTAATTTAACATTGACGCTTCATGTGATTCTCCAAACAGTCATGCTCACCTGTGACTCCAGCTGAGACAGACTCAGATGTCTTCTTTCCACCAGGCTCTGCCCTGAGCGGTGGCGCCTGTGTGACCTCATCACTCTGAGTGCTGACGTCTCTATTTGAGACCTTGAGCATCGCGCAGGGTTGGGATGACAGTGTGGCGGCGGAGGCACCGGTCAGGTCATCCGAGAGGCTCTTTCCTAAACGAAGCAGAGAGAGAAGGCTGTTTATTCATCTGCGTACATCAACACTTACATCCTGACAACATCTGCCAGTCCTTCACAAGAATATTTTGGTTCAGGCTATTCTGGAATCAGAAGCAAAATGCGTTCTAGTTTGAAATGACGCAGCCTATGTTGAGGGTTGTTTAATCTATTTGACGACACAACGGCAATGACAGAATTCGGTTGTTTAATCTATTTGACGACACAACAGTGCGACAGTTGTCTCCCAATGACAGAATTTGATTCCAAATGCTTTGAACTTAGCAGGAAGATTCACGGGCAGGAACTCACCTTTGAGCTGTGTGCCGGTGCAGGCTGTAGTGTTGATGGAAGGAACCGACCTGGCAAGACGGAGCCCTTGGTTCTCCGACCTGCCCTGTTCCCATCTGGAGCGCTGCTGGAAGACTTTAATGACCGCATCCTTCTCCAGGAGCTGAGCATGAAGAGCGCGGATCCTAAACGCAGAACACACACACGATGAGTTCGAAAAACGTTCAGGCTGTAAAATCGAATGGTGGCGTAGCGGCGCGGTAGAAAAAGGTACCTGTTCTTCATCTCCTGGTGTCTGTGACTGGGCAGGCTGTCATTGAAACTGCTGTTCGGTGAATGACGGGGTGAGTGTTTGATGATGGTTGTATCTCTGCGATAAATACGTAGCAAGGTTAAAATCTGCTGCTGGTTTGGCTGGTTATTTATTATTTATTATTAATATTATATTTGATTTGACTTTTTTGTACCTCTGTGCTGCAGCAGTGGCCGCTGCATCCATGGCAAACTGCCTCATCGTGCTCTCCTCCAGGTACTTTTGCTCCCACTTGGTGATATCTGCCTCCAGGGCTAGGATGCATTCTTCTTTCTCCCTCAGCTGCTGCTGCAGGGCGAAGGAACTCGACGCTGTAGCTGTGGGATCAGCTCCCTGTTTCTGAGGCCGGGATAAAAAAAAAAAACAGTTAGAAATTTTAAATGACAAACACTCAGATCAGCTCCCTGTTTCTGAGGCCGGGATAAAAAAAAAAAAACTGTTAGAAATTTTAAAAAATAAACACTCAGTACTAGGGATGTAAATCAGCTGTGGGATCAGCTCCCTGTTTCTGAAGCCGGGATAAAAAACATACCAGTTAGAAATTTTAAATGACAAACACATTATGTAAATCGATTCATAAAATGAGCTGCGATGCTGCCATCTAGTGGCTTTCACCTTCATATACAGCCGTTTTCCCCCAAAACTATTTTTACGGCACACATCATTTGGCGACTTTGAGTTATTTATTATCGGAGGAAAAAACCAAAATCGATAATGATTTTTTACAGATATTATGTAATTATGCTAATATCGGTTAGCCAATCTTATTGGACATCCTCTGCTCACCTGTTGCGCCCTGAGGCTCTTCAGTTCCTGCTCGAGCCTCGTGCGGAGCCGCTGCTCCAACACTTCCCTCTTCTCGCACGCTGCCTGGAGCTGAGCAAGAGCGCTCTGCATGCGCTCCACCTTCGCTATGTACGCCGTCTTCTTTTGCAAATCCTCCTCAAGCTGCAGGTTGCGGAGCTGGGCCGAGGCCAGCTTTTGTTCCAGCAGCGTCCGTCGCTGTCGGCACTCGTCGCCCGCGACTCGAAGGTGCTGAACTTTCCTCTCCAACTGCTCTCGCTCTCGTTGCTGCTCCGCCTCTGAAACGCGGCGAGAGGATGGGACGATTAGACACGGGGTCATCGTCACAGTAAACAAACTGTCAACCGACCAAAAATATTTGAAGTGCCAACTAGACCTGCTACGTATAATTATCAACTCGATCTCATCAATGTGTCGTACCGCTTTAAAAGTAGGGACTGATTACGCAACGCGACTGCATGCCTGAGGAGGGAATGCAGACTTCCTCTTATCCACTTAAGTACACAGGCATAGCTTTGTGCTAGGAAAAGCCGTGGAATGCTTCTAAGGTTGTGGAGTAAACAAGCACCTCACAATACAACACAAGCTAATCACATTTTTCACTTCTTTTTTTTTTTTTTTTTTACATTTGCTGTGCTCAGATAACCAGCTTCAGGAAACCCAAGGGATGGGTAATATTTCAAATGTCAAGATTCAAGACATTTGCACCATAACATAATGGAAAACATAAGAGAAATGTGCAGCAGGGTAATGTACAAAAGGCTGCTGTGTCCGATTACACAACGGCAGAACGTTCTCCACACAGCACTTCCCCTGCACAGGTCATGATTGAACCCATGAAGTGAAGAAATGCCCAAACAAGGAGAATGTGTTGGGCAGATGTTATATTTATTGGCCCTACATCCCCTGAGGTGTGCTTATTAATTCCCTCTCGGGAAGGAAGTCAGCTGTGATGAGGAGGTGGGGGAATGCCCTAATGCCCCAAGAGGCCAAAATACCTTTAAAAAAAATCCCAGGAATCCAGGCCACATTTACTGCAGCTGTTAAAAAAAAAAAAAAAAACGACTACCATCTAAGTGAGGAACTCTTCCGTCCCGTTCGTACAAATACAACTTTAGAGTTCAGAAAACTTACTCTGCTCCAGCAGCTTCACAAAGATGTTCTGCTTCTGGTCAGCTTCCCTGGCCGCTTGTTGTTTAGTAGCGGTGTCCAGTTGTTCTGTACAGAGCAGAGCAGACAGTCATTCATTCGAACTCCTTTGGAAAGCGGCGTTGTTCAATTTACGGCCGCCGACTCGACACCAACCTCTCAGGTCTCTGTTGAAGTCGTGCATCCTTTTGATTTCGGACTCCAGTTTGTTCCTCATGGTTTTCTCCAGAGTTTCTCTCTTGGCAGAACCCCTCATTAGTGTCTCGTACTCTTCGGATATTCTCTGAATCTCCGACTCCATCTGAGGAGAAAGAAAAAAAAACTGAAAAACACTCTTCAACCACCTCTGTAACCACCACGACATGCACTAGAGTTTTACGATGTCTTTACGAGCTTCACTGATGACATCATTTCGGTCTCCTACCTTCTGCATCCTGGTGGCCTTCTCGGTGAACAGCTCCAGCTCCTTCCGGAGTTTCTCGTTTTCCCTCATCAACACGTCAGGAGCCGGGACGACGCTGGAGGCGGCGGTTACACCGCTGAGCGCCACCTGGGACTGAGCGGACACATACCTGCGGAGGGGAGATGAGACAGGTCACGACACTAATCATCGCCACCGTGACGTAAAAGCACCGAATCACGAATTCGACTGCTCTGTCTCCCAACCTGTGGTGTTGTGAGTAGAGGGGAGGGGGAGGGTCTCCGTAGTATTGCCCATGCTCCTGTGAGTGACTGAGCGCGTACTCAGGAAGCCTCGCAAAGACGGGGTAGTCAGGCGGAGGCCCCCTGGGGTCCAGAAACTGCTGACCTCCGTGGTTGTGGTATGGCACAGCGGTACCGTTATACAGCTGCGGGTAGCTACGTGAAAAACTCTGACTCAGATTGTCTCTGTCTCCGTTCCTGTCCAAAGAAAGCTGCATGAGCCTGTCGCTGAGGGAGCGGGCGTGCTCTCTCTTCAGATCCCACTGTCCTTCGACGTGAGCGGCCATCGTGTCCGCGCTGGTTCTTCTCTGCTCCGTCCGCACCTTCTGAGAGTTCAGGTACTGGGACAGGGCCTTGGCCTCCTCGTAGGTGGGCAGCTCCTCGCTGTGGAGCCCGTACAGATCGCACGCCGAGCGTTCGGAGAGCAGGCAGTCACCCTGGTGCTCCTGGCCCTGGGGCTCCTGGCGAGCCGACATGTGGATGTACTGAGTCTCCTCCTGAGTCAGGCTCTCCAAAGAGGAGCGGGGACTCCCGACGCCTCCGCCGCCGCTGCTGCCTCCGCGAAGGGCCTGCTGCTGGATGGCCAACAGCGCACGGGTGTCTGTCAGGTTCCCAAAGCGGAGCTGCTCTTGGATGAGGCGGTGCAGCACTGTTCCGGAGGAGTCCTCGGCAGTTCTCATTTTAGTTACGGGGGAAAACGTGAAATGTACGATTACGGCCTTTCAAGTCACATGTACGGGTCCTTCACCAACCTAAGACACCAGACAATAATATTAGTCAAACAGCCATTGGTCCCAGCAGTAAAGGATTTCATTCAGGATTTGTCACGTCTCATTCAATTGCGAAAGCTGTTATTTTCTGTAGACATGAAAGACTTTGTTATGATAATGATTAATAGAATAATTTTTAAAAATAGAACATAACATTTTTTTGTGAAAGCTGTATGCTAGATAGATAGATGTTGTTCAGTAACTTTATGTTCAGCATGCAACAGAATTGTGTTTACTAAGCTGACAATTAATTGCAAAAAACCCTCAATATGTCGTTGTGCCTATAGTATCGCTGTGCATCCCAATATATCGTATCGTTGCCACTGTATCTAAAAAGATAGATAGATAGAGAACAAAGGAAAGAAAGCGTGCCACGGAAAGAAACAATAAAAAGGCATTTTGTTTGGAAAAAAATGAAAAAAAAAAAAAACAATTCCAGATGCGCCAGTAACCAATACAAGCGGGAGAGAAAAATCCACAACAAGCGCACCGAACAAGTGCGTCATACGCAAACAGTTTACCTCGAACAAAAAACACAACTCACCCAAATCTAGTCTCATCTCCTAAAACTGCGATAGTCCAACGGTTTTAACGCTTTCTTCAACAAAGTCCGTAGATTTCCCACGCGTCTTTCACGTGTTTCTTGAGCTTATTAAATCAGTCGTGCGGACCTTTATTAGGATGGATGTTCATTTGCTTAGCGCCGGTGCGTCAGAGCGATTCGACAATAACGGTGGCGAGGAGGAGAAGGGAGTCACAGGGGAGGAGAGTGGAGAAGATGGAGGAGGGAATGTAAAGGCTGCAGGTCCCTGTGGGATCAAAAGCAGAGCACGGGGGGAGGAGGGGAGCGAGAAAGGACGGCAGGGGAGGGGCGAGAGACTGGAGCAAAAAAAAAAAACGAAAAAATTCTGAATACAGAACAACAGGACCTTCTCAGCTGGCTGCTAGTGTCATGTAAAACAGTCTAATGTTTTGTTGTGTTGTGCTTCGCCAGTGGCGAATCTAAAGAGTTTTTCTAAGGATGCCAATGGTGTGGCATGATGCCCCAGCAGGGGGCAGAAGTCATTGTCTCTCAGCAGTTTAATTTCGGACTTACTTTCAGGTGACTTTCACGCATTACACCAACATTCAGCAGTGCGTCATGCGAAGGCGTGCTGCAGTTTGTGCGCAAAATGCTAACAACATGCTAAGCAAGAGTTTTTGTTATGTTGTGAGTTACATATTGGAATATGCAATACAAATGTTACCTGGAGAAGAAAATATTAGCGAAAGAATTAAGTTCTGATGTGAAAATACAGAGGTTTATTTAAGAGTTCTCGGACTGTCATTGGTTCTAAGCCCCTCTAGATTTAAGTATTTCTGCCATGTCCTCTGACCTGAAGTCCACTCTTGAGATTGAATTAAGTCGGAAAATTGTGCAGGCCAGCTGCACAATGTTTCCCCTTTGACCTTCTGGAAATCATTATTAACCAGTTTTACCAGCATGTGGTGTTCAATGACCAAAAAAAAAAAAACAAAAAAAAACCACAATAGAGAGACAAAGCTACATGTTGTCTGTTCCAATTGGAATCCCTTCAAAAGATTAGTTTTTTAAATTTGCAAACTAAAACAAAACTAGCATAAAGACTGAAACCAGGTTTGTTGTTGTTGTTATATAGCAGCTAAAATATAAATATAACCCTTATATGGTCATCTTTATTTCGCTGGACTTACAGGCACCAAATACATCACGATGACAGAAAATCTGTAACCCACGTTCCCTGTCCTGATATCGACTCTGGACAAAGATTAACCATCATTCCGTGGACAGTCTCTTGTCCGCATGTGTCTGGTAAATATTTAAGCCTTGGCCCGTGGCGGTTAATTGCAGAGTGTGCGTCTGTGTGTATGGACACGAGGGAGGGGTGAGAGGGAAGGTGCGAGGCACGATGCCTGCCAGCTGTCCGTGGACTTAAATCCCCTTCCCCTCCTTCAATAAAAGCTCTGAGAGATGCATTGTTCTCCCCCTAAAAAAGCAGACATGACGGGGGCTGCCCTGCCATCTGCTGCCCCCCCCCCCCCCCCCACCACCAGTTATAGTCCTTTGTCACAAACACACAGATACACGTACAGACATGCATGTGGACGGTCAGCTGGCTGTGGGGGTTGGATGGTACGTTTTGTGGAGTTCGGGGTTTTTTTTTTTTTTTGCATTAAGAGGTTGATCCCTATAGGTGGAGTGGTGTTGGCGATGTAAACAGACGCCCTCTTGTTGCTCTAGTGCAGTCAGCGTGTATAGACAGAGTGCCAGTGGATTCATCTGTTACACTCGCAGGCAGACGTGCACCTGCTGATTTGCATGGCCGTTACAGTCATCCGGTAACTGACGAGATGAACTGATATGTACCTGGGAGGAGGGGAGAAAAGCACACTCCTTGTAACCACCATGTCAAGTAGAATATGCATAAACAAAAATAAATATCAAATATACTTGTAATTCAAAACAAATGAGGAAAAACATGGACTCAATGTGATTCTTGGTTAATTCCATCATGATCGTACTGGTCCGGCCCACTTGACATCTGATTGGGTTGAATCTGGCCCGTGAACCAAAATGAGTTTGACATCTCTGACGTATGGGTTTATCTAATTACTGTATAACACAACTGACGTAGTATCATTTGTATACAGAATAAATATACAGTACTTCTATTCTAGTCGGTGTCAAACATATTCGGTGTATAATCATATTGTTGCACGGGCCGCATACAACAAAACTAGATGTCGAGTGGGCCGGACCAGTACAATCATAACATAATTAACTATAAACCAAAAATAAGTCCATGTTTTTCCCCTTTGTTTCCATGCAAGAATATTATTATTAAAATGTATTTACTGTATATTTAATGATATATAATTTTACCAAAAAACATCCTGAACATGAAGTGTGTGTGTATTTTTTTTTTTTCCTTTTCAAAATTCATTAAGCGGGTCGGTTTTGGCCCACAGGCCGTATGTTTGACACCTGCGCTGCGACCAAGAGCTTTAGATGAGTTTACAGAGCAGTGTTGTAAATGCAAGTTTATCTGCATAGACCAACATAACAGAACATGCAGTGCCTCGGTCCACTTTACACTGTGGAATTAGAATAATCCCTTTGTTCTGTCAGGGCCTCGGTCTGCATAAGAAACAACTCCAAATAACTCCGTTCAAAGCGGACGAACCCGCCCTTTAGCACTGTATGTTTAGCTTAATGTGTTGATTTAGCTGATTGAGCGTTGTCCCTGAGTTTCTGGCATCACTACATTGACTTGTCGTTTGCGCTTTGATGACTAATACAGTCACACTAGACCAGTACTTCTCAAATAGTGGGTCGGGCCCAGTGGGGGGCGTGGTGAGCCATGTGGGGCATTGGGGGCTTCCAATAGAATATGACACGCTGGACATAAGTGTACCACTGCTGTAATGCTTGAATGATAACAAGCCTCCAGTCACTAGGTGGCAGCAACTCATAAAAAAAATAAACATTTTATTAGGTTCTCAATAGTGTTTCAATTCGCAGGAGTGTGGGTCGGAAGAGGGGCATGAAAACATTTCTGTCCCCAAAGGGGGGGCATGACAGAAATTAAATTGAGAACCACTGTTCTAGTTGCTAGGGTTAGTATTTTCTCTTTTATATTAGCATCATTATACAATATAAAAAAATCGTTATCAATTTTTTTTCTTCCGATAATGAAAACCCGATAACGTAATCCCTGGGTTTTGCTGGAATCGCTTGTAGGCTCCTGAGACGTTTATCGCAGATTTGGGGGCAAATGGCTTCATATATCGGTATCGGTTGATATCGGAATCGGAAATTAACCGTTTGGACAATAGCGGCATATCGGATATCAGCAAAAAGTAATTATCTGACCTCCCTAATATATGTATATACATATAGATTTTTAATACTCATATAATACTTTGTATACTTTTATATTTTTTACATTAAATATATAATAAAGAATAAATGTGGGACTATGTGGATGTACTCAAGTACAAAAAAATAGTTATTTTTTATAAATTATTATCTGGGATCATATCATTGCACAGTTGCCTATAAAGCGGACTACTGATCTATAAATAGGACCAGCATCACCAGTTCATAAAGCACAACATCAGGATCATGTTCTCCATATTCTAGTTATCTCTTTTCAGAGCTTTGACAATGACAGCTATAACGCCATACCGGTATTTCTAATGTCCCTCTTGTAAGACCACCTTAAGGTTTAAACCTAACCCAAACCCACCAGAGTGACAGTATCAGACCTAACAAGTACCGTGCCCTACAATGACTGGTTCCACACAATACAGACTGTGATCTAGGAGCAGCAGCCTTGTTATGTGAGGTGGGAAGTCAGGCGCCTCAGAAGCCCCTTTTGTTTCACTGCCGGGAGGAAACGGTCGCATTCCTCGTATTACCATGTCCATAGGCTCTGACTGGGGCTCCTGTTCTAGCACTGCATGACAGAAGAGGACCCGGAGCTAATGGTTCTCTCCAATCACAACTAGTACCTTCATAATATAATCTCAATCTATAACTGTTTTATTTTCAATGGGCCGAGTCTTTACAAATAAGGGCAGAAAACACAACAAGAGTCTGTGTTCAAGCCTAAAGCAGCCTATCAGAGTGACTTGTACTGTATTTCTTTGTTTCTAGCACTTGGATAAGAGACCTGATCAAAACAAAAGGCACACGAAGGATGTTAAGAGTTATTAAAATATATGTTATCTTTTCAAAATGAGCCTTTATTTTAATTACTAAAACAGGCAAAGACAGATCTCCCAGCTGTCCTTAACAGCTTAGTGTTATCATGATACCTGGACCAGATGTCGAGCTGTGTTACCTTTATTCTGTTATTTTGTATCTTCCAATCTTCACAAATAAACTATTTCAACAGCAGCGCAAACATCAAATTATAAATTAACCCTCGTGTTGTCCTTGGGGTCTAGGTGACCCGGTG